TTGTTTGGTTTTCAAAGGTAAATTTGGCATTCCTATAGCCGCTAGACCGTGGTCTAGCGAACTATAAAACAAATTTTCCGGCGTTTTTCTTTTTGACACGCATGCGCAATTTAACCGGAACACCAGAAAATCTGATGAAAAATATGGATTAGGCCAGAGTTCGTGGTTGCTCGCGCCCTCAGGCCAAGAGGAACGCGGGCTCTGGAACGAGATTGGTTCCTTATCACTTATACGTATTTCTCTATCGCCGTATCCGTACTCGAATATCGTCGAACTTTGGATCGCGGGTTAGATTCTCGACTCGATCACTTCTAAGCGATTCTTTTTTCTTTCCTTCTTTAACTTAAATATATACTCGTTCTTTTTTCTAAAATCATTTTATGCAAAGCAAACTTTCATCTTATAAATTCTCTGAGGATAATGCGAATGCAATACTAAATTTTCGCTGCAATGATATATTCAAAAAAATGATGTGAAAAGATCATACGCAAAATCTATCAAATCGATCGCGGCGCTGGTAAAACTATATATTAGCGTAGCCTGGACACGGTATGTTCCACGAAGTGGTTCTTGTTTCACCAGGAACGCACGAAAACGAGCTGTTTATTGCTTAAATCAACACACCTGTAAATAGTGTTAGGATGCAGGTTGACTAAATCATATTCTTGGATATGTGACTCTTCAGCCTCGAGTTCATTCTCCTCTAAGTCATAGCTAATATTTCGGACTCCAGTAATCTCGATGTTGTATGATGTTATTGTCGCACCATTGTTTCCAGGGTGCCTCCATCTTAATCTTAAGTTGGAAGATGACTGATCAATCTGAAAATAAAGATATACTAATTAAAGGAGTATTTAAACGTCAGGCATCCTGACCAAACAATGAATTCGATAGAACAACCATTATTTCAAGTAATAGAACAAGTGTAATGGAAAAAAGAAATAATTCTGTTTGACAAGGTTGTATACACAAGCACGGTAGTCACTCTGAGATTTTTGATTGCCTGACGGAGTGTTACGAAAAACTGTGTGAAACTGTATGMCATATAAAACAAATTAAATTACCTWCAATCTCTATAATCAACTATTACTTATATAATTGCCTAATGTTGGCATGCATGCCATATTGTTTACTTACCACTCTCACATATGACACGGCTGCAGGAGAGGCAGCTGGTGTATGGCACGTCCCAACAGCACTCCAAAGACTTGCTCCAGCCTGGCTCAAAGCCTGAAAAACAAAGTKATAACGGCTTGTGTCCATTACAYTACTATGCTTTCTTTCATTGTTCCTTTTGTCAACTTACTTTTACTCTAAAATAGTAGTAACTTGCTGGATTCAGCCCCTTTCTTAGTTCGAAGGTCTTGTCAACACCACTATAGATCTGTTGGTAGAACCTTAATTTAATACTTACAAATTCATACCATCTTGTTCTTCCAAAATCCAAAACCCGAACCACAAACGCTTGTGGAAAAGAGAAAAAAAGGAAAAATTGGGGATTCAGGCAGTTACGTCACTTGCAAAGCCTGATTGTTTTCTATTATGTCTAGTCAAGGCAATATTCCACAATCTGCTTCCTTTTTGCCAATAGTGTTGGTAATTAAGTCAAATCCTATAGAGTCATTTTATCCGTCTGTGAAATAGGAATTGTACGATTAAATACTATTACCTCCTATTATCACCTATTACCCCCTAGAGAGGAGATATTTATCATCTGGCTTAGAGGTTCATAGAGCTATCGTGATACTTGGAAGCATTACAAGGATGTATTAACTAAACCGAAGTCGTCGTACTACCAAAACAAGATGAGTAGTAACCAGATGCAGCTTTTCAAAACTGTCTCTCGTTTTCTTCAATCTAAAGACAGT